ATGCGATCGTAAAACGTGACAAATCATAAAACGTGTTCGATTATTATATTATCGCAACGGGCGACTAATTGTTTAACTTATGTACATGCATACGTATGGGGTGCCTAAAATAATATGTGAAACGCAAAAAAATTTAAACGGAAAGCTGTGCACGACATATTTATTCGAGATGATTGGGCTGAAGGGTCGTTATTGACAATGTGGGCGAGACTTGGAGTATTGGAGATTTAACCTTTGCCCACTTTATCAACCCAGTACCATTGAAGATGTCTTGAACTGCTGCCTACGAAATGTCGGTACCGAACAATTCATTTAGGCTACGACCCTTTAGCCAGAATGACAATTCTACCATGGATTCCTGCCGAGAAATCCACAAAACAAAAGTCTTTCTTCTTCAACATGAAATTGCCCGAGGTGAAGCACACAACCCATTCAATACAGAGGGTGTTAAGTACAATAAATGGGCGGTTTCAAAATCAAATAGCTCACATCGAAATGGCATCAAAGCGATCAAAATAAATTTCTTTTTGACATGAACTTGATAGTTAACTGAATATAGACAATGGGACGCCAAAGAACAAATCCAAAATCAACTCACTTACGTAAACTCTCATCGCCCAATACACTTGAAAATGTTAGACAACTGGACCAAAGAAATAGATCCACAACAGTTAATGCCCAAAAAAGCTCAAAGACAAGGCAGTTAGGCAACTATATAAGTCATAAAAACTTGTCCAGAAGAAAAGAACCAAGACAAGAGTTCAGCACAATAATTATTCACCAGTTAACACCCGCACACATGGTAAATATGTACTGGTCAGGCCATGGTAGTTATCCCAAATTTGAACGTTAATTATCAATTATACATCAAGGAGAGAATTATTTTCATCGATTTGGTATCATTTAATGTGAGCTATAAAGTATTGTAGACCAATGACTTATTTGACTTTGAAATCGCCCATTTATTCACTTTAAGTATCACCCTTCATCCTCTATATTTTGGGTGACCTCATAATATTACGCGCTTGTTCGGGTTCAGCGATCTGTCCACAAATTTTACGAATAGTACCACGTACTGTATGCAATACATCGGTTTGTTGATTGAAGATTTCCCTAATCAAAAGCTACTTCCACCAATACCATAGTTTAGATTTACTTTTCGTATTTCGTCAGTATCTCCGGCGTCGTTAGAACCAGATGTATAAATAAATTTAATGACTTATTTCTAGTTCTAATTTCTTCTATAAACTTATCTATTCTTACATATTAACTTTAATTATGATCCGTGTACATAAGTATCTCTACGATTTTAATTTTAGGATCGTATTTGTGTCTACAGCGTAGGCGACCTTTCGACTAATTTTGGCATGAATCTAAAGTCATGTACGTATATGTGTATTATGTGTTTTTCATACATGTATCTATACAATAGAAAATTCCTGATTGAGTACAAACCAATAAAATCTTTTTAAGGAATAATGATTCAATCCACAAATGAAAGAGCTAATTTCGTAACAAATTATGTATTTATAAACTGAATGCGTCCTTCCAAATTTAGTTGGAGTGGTGTAAAACACTTCACACATGTCATTTAGGGAAAACTATTCTTAAATAACACTGTAAGCATCTGAATTAGTGCTTTTTAATCCGAAATTCCGATTATCTGGTATCATCAGGTATCTCACGATCAGTTACACTACTCTTGTCTTATGTCTGCAAGACAAAACCGCTGTAAATTCTGTGCAAATTTCTACCGTTTTCCTATGGTTAAGGCTAATTAAATGACAGACAAACAGGCAAACAGGCCATAATACACCTACAATGTTTCGAAAAAACTGAAACAAAAATATGATGATGGACTAAATTCGAAACGTATTCTTTCTTTTTACTATTGATTTGAAATAACTGTTTCGTTTACACAAAAAGTTTTTCTTTCACCAACCATGTTCACTCCTATTTAGCATGGGCAATTATCACTAACATATAACATATTTTAAAGAATTACTCACTATACCAACAAATAATTACCTCACTTTTGTTAATTTTACTCTAATATGCAATGGGGAAAACCTGTTTATCATTAGCAATTCCAAAAAGAGAACTATGGAAACTTTTTTAATTTGGATGTATTTACGTACTATTTGACCTAACTTTACTATTTTATAGTTACTTGACTAAAAAGCAACGTTCACTGTTGAAAAAATGAAACTAATTAACGTGTTTATATTTGTGATTTTATTACCTGTACATATATATGTATATTTTTTTAAAATGAGCACATGTTCGAATCTAATTTCGTACGTCAGCAAAAAAAAATAATAATTGATTTTAAAACACTAAAGCTTTAGACTTGAGTCTTAATTCTCGTGAACTCGTAGTAGAAAAGGTATTGGTAAAGATTTTCACTAGTCCTACGTAGTAGTAGAATGATTTGTTCCTTAATGTTTTCTAACATAAAACAACAACAAATTCGTTTTTCACGATTCATATAATAACTTACCAGAATTCCGTTTTAAATCCCTTCACACGACCAACTTTAATTTTTCAAATCGATCAATTTCATTTTAATCAACTAATCGTAAGTATTAATCTAACGATAATTATGTTTAAATTTTTCTGCGTTAAAAAAGCTATGGTGACGCACGCGACTTTATAGTTTTCAAAAAAAATAAAAACAAATTATAAACACCTGTGGATGAAGGATATGTAATCAACACCTCCCTGTCTCTCCGACTGATTCTATTGTCGCAGGTCCGAGGATAGCCCTGCCAACTTTTCCACACTAGGCGTCGCGACGCTAGACCCTTTTCCGTCCCTACGCACGCACCAACGCACCCTTTTAACGACCCTCCACAGCTTCACACTATGCGCGCAATAAAAACCCAAAAAGCAGACGCGCTTTCGAAAATTGGTCACTAGGTCCTAATCTAACAGCAAGTCAGTCGAATATTATACTGTAAGTACTACGAATACGGACGGCGCGACGCACATTTTGATTCTTGTCAGAGAATGGAAACTAAAAGAAAGACTTCTTTTGTTTATCACCTGTAGTTGTTGGTGTATTCTTCGTAAAATACATAATCAGTAATAAATAATTTGAGTAATGACAACCACCCACGTTATTTCGATGAAAACAAGCGACGATCAACCGGCCGGCTACATTTTAATAACAGCAAAATCTCAGCAGGCTGAGCACGTAACTGACGAACAAAAAACAAAACGTTATTGTAAGTCGCGGTTGGCTGTGCTCTTTTTGAACAGAGATACCGACACGACAATACACGGTCACCGTTCGGTTTGATTACGATCAGAGGTATTACATTTTATTTCACCTGCACGATTAAATAATGTACGAGGACAGTTCCGAAAGTAAACGCCCCGCGCCAGTGTAAAAACACTTCCAAAATCTTTCTAAACTCTATACTTGTAAAAGTTCACTGATCGATAGTGTCTTCAGCGCGAGAACTTTTACGGAAGCACTGAACTAACAACATTTATAACTTGCATAACAACAAGTAAGCTGTTAACCTGCTTTACAAGAAACTTATTAACTTGCTTAACAGGCTAATTATCCTGACTTAGTGTAGTAACAGTAAAATAGTGGTTTCAGGTTCCGCGCCTCTACCCTTGCGCCTCCACTTAAAGCCACTTTCTCTGTGGACTGCACGGACAAAATAAAGCAAGTTACTCACTTGCTCTGGATGTAAATTATTAACTTGTTTTTAACAAGCCAGTTATTAACTCGCTATAGATCGGGGTCGTAGGTCAGGGGAATGTCAGGGCAAGCTAAAGTATTACGAGATTGCCTGGGGGGCAGCCAGGATCTGCAAAGTATTTCTAAATTACTACCATATTTTCTGCGTTGTTCTACTATATTTTAAGTTATTTTTAAAAGAAAAACTTTGATTAGCATCCCTCACAGCATCTACAAGTGAAAATTATAATTTAAAAGTGAAAATTTATCAATCTACTTCAATAAAATCGGAATTATTGCTCATTTAAAGCTTTTGTTTTAAATTGTCCCGGCGCCTCCACCAAAATTTTTTATAAAATTTCTTAAAATGATAGTGTTTATATCTATACATATCTTATTAAATGTTTTATTTTCGGCATTAAAACAGTAATTTGTAAAATCATACAAAAACTCGATACAGAGTTAGGTACTACTATATACTTACTTAGGTAGGAATAATTCCAACTTTTCACCAAGGGGTCGTCATTGTCTAACGGAAATGATGCGTTATACATACCGAATTTTTGTAACAAAACGTATTTGGTTCATACAGCACCGATTAAGGTAACTTGCGTAAACTGGGGGACAATTGACGTCAATGGTGATCGTATTCCCTATTGAATCATGGCAATTGTCTTCTATATAAGTGTTCATACTTTTTATATGGAATTTCTATTTTCAACCACATAAACGCTAATTCTTATTTATATTTATGTATTAACATATAAGCTAACTTATTTGCTAAAATAACTGAACCGAAACATTAATAATCAACAGTACCTTGAAATTTCACTTCATTTATTATTAATGTAGAAAACATACTTAGATTATAAAACTGTCCTTCTATACATTGATGCTTTAGTATTTTAGTATTCATCGATTTAATTAATATATTAAAGAGTGCACCTTAAGCTGTAATAATTAATCACCCGGTAGATCAACTTTGAATTTTGATGAAAAACACCATCGACGCGCCATCTACACAGCAGTAACTAAATTAACTGATCTTTTGCTATTGGGTGTTACAGAACTTTTGCATTTTCTGTTTCCAATAAGTGTTTACAGTTGGGTTTTATAGATAACGCTTTGATTGTTTTCTCTCAGTTTAAGCATATTCCGTTAGGTGGCTCAGAATCGTTTAAGCATATTCCGTTAGGTGGCAGGGTCTACCACATTCCGTTTAAATGATCCATAAACAGCAAAAAAGACTTCAAAAATAAAATTGATACCGAAAATGTAGATAAAACGTTTTGTAAAATCACTGTTTCAATACTCGACATAATACAATTCATTTAATATTAAATCTTAAAAAAAACTTCTTAATTATTAAATACAAAACGGTCTGATTGCAAGAAGACAAAAAGCATTTGATTCATGGTATGTTTATTTATTTATTACACTCACTAATTCGTATTGTAATTTATTATTAGATTATTTTACATTAACTACTTCTTAAGTTTACTACTCAGTATTTTAAAAATATTTTTGCGACTTCTTTTGTTACTTTTTTATTGTGAAAAGCAACTGTAACATAATACACGTTTTTCTATTTTAGTTCCAATAGTTTGCAATAACAATTGCTGTTATTTGTCCTGGTCAACTCAAGTTTTTATTGAATGTTGCCTTTTTTGTTAGTAAACATAAAACAGTAGAAAATGCAATTATTGTATTGAATTTACAAAGGAGAAATGCAGTGCTTATTTATAAAGAAATGCCACAAACTGGTAGCACTAATTGAAACTCTTTCATAGTTTTGCGAAGCAGACAGTTTTAATATTGTTTCCAAATATACTTTTGTTATAATTTCAAAAATAGAGAACATGGCAACAAAATTAAAAACTACTATTCTCTGGAAAATCTCAAATAGTAAAGTGAGTACTATATAATTGTTATAATACTTAACTATATTTAACTTTATACTGTTGAGTGTGATGTTTATCTAAAAATATCCCTGAGCAAGTTGAAAGGTCAATGTTGATTTTACTTATCACTGTAATTAATTTTCTCTTACATTCTTTTTATTAGTAATTTATATTAAATAAAAGTTGCAATTGAAAAGATAATGCTCGGCATTAGATACCTGAGCCATCACGGCAGTTTTAAGCGTAACCACCTATTGGCTAATTTGAAGGTATGTGTGGGTGTACGAACCATGTTGAATGAAAACGCGGTATTGTTTTGAAATAATCGTATGCATATTAAATTTTATTAAACGCTATCATTATTAAACATATTTTGTAAACAGGAGTATGTAGTAATCATATTTACGGATTTATTACTTAATAACCCTTTTACGCTGTTTTGTTTATTATATCAGAAAATAGTGATAAGAGACGTAGGTTTATTTGTAATGATTTATAACAAACATCACTCCGCATCAGTCAGGGGGAAAAAGACGCCGACTATTTATTGAGATAATTACTAATTTCTTATTAAATACAATTAAAGGTAAGAACCGACAATAATATCGTTTTAAAACGTTGCAACAGGTGGTTGATATGAACATAACCTTAAATTAGTTAGCGCGACAATGTAAATATTTGTTTGTTTTAAAATGTTGCTGACTTTAAAACTTTATAAGATGTGTAAAAGTGATTCAGGTGTTTCGTTACAGAATTGTACTGCATTGCTGAGGAATATTTCGAAAGGAGTCAATACTAACAGAAAAATGAGTGGAACTGGACAAACAGTAGTTGATTCAAAACTGCTCCATTCAAACGTTTGGGAAACTGATCCAGAATTGTTTAACCTGATGAAAAAAGAAAAACAACGTCAGAAACACGGTATTGAATTAATTGCTTCTGAAAATTTTACTTCCCTCTCAGTTTTACAATGCCTCAGTTCTTGTTTACATAACAAGTATTCAGAGGGCTTACCGGGAAACAGGTAAGACATATTGGATAAATTGTGTCTAACAGTATTTGTAACTAAGTATCTTGCAAGGTATTATGGGGGTAATGAATATATTGACGAAATAGAAATGCTTTGCCAAAGAAGAGCCTTACAAGCTTATAATTTAAGCTCTCAAAAATGGGGTGTGAATGTACAGCCTTACTCAGGATCTCCAGCAAATTTTGCAGCATATACAGGTACACAAAAATTGAATTAAACATTTACTGTTATATTCCTAATAGAAAAGAATTTTTCAAATAGTAAATGATGCGTAAAATTGATAAAATTAAAATAATATATATGTAAATGTTACTTCGTTAGTTATTAATAATATTGCTGATAAATGTATTTTAGAAAGATAAGTTTTACTCAACAGTATGAGAAAAGTTTAAAGGTTATTTGTGAAATGATTTAGAGCAAACAAGAAAGAATGATGTAATATGTTTACTTTCAATTGCATTTATTTATCTATTAAAAAATAAAAACAGGCAATTAGCCCATCAATTCATAATAATAACATAAAATTTAACAAATCAGTAACAAGAATAAAAATAAAATTTCGTAGGGGTTGTGGGAGCTCATGGACGTATTATGGGCCTTGACCTACCTGACGGTGGACATTTGACCCATGGCTTTTTCACACCTACCAAAAAAATTTCAGCAACTTCGATATTTTTCGAGTCAATGCCTTATAAGGTTTGTTTAGGTTCTATTAAATCTTGTGGGTGGTAGTAAATTCATGATTAATGTACAGGTGGATCCCAGGACTGGTTTAATCGACTATAACTTGTTGCAAAATACTGCCCAACTCTTCAAGCCCCAACTGATCATTGCTGGAGTTAGCTGTTATTCAAGAGCATTAGATTATAAAAAATTCAGAGAGATTGCCGATAATGTAGGAGCCTATTTAATGGCTGATATGGCCCATATTTCTGGACTGGTAGCAGCAGGTAAATTAACTGAAATTTGACCAAGAAATGTATGATTGTATACAAGTGTGATCTATACTTGTTAGGTGTTACCCCTTCACCTTTTGAATACTGTGATATTGTTACGACAACGACTCATAAAAGTTTAAGAGGCCCCCGAGCAGGCGTTATTTTCTTTAGAAAAGGAAAGAGGGAAGTGGGTGGTAAAATTATCGAATATGATCTAGAGTCAAAAATAAATCAAGCAGTATTTCCAGCATTACAAGGTAAATTTACAAAAAAGAAGTGCAGCTTGACCTAAAGAGAATGGGCTGTAGTTACATTTTTGTTTCATATTTAACAGGTGGGCCCCATAACAATGCCATAGCCGCGATGGCAACAGCATTTAAGCAAACTCTATCTCAAGAATTCAAAGATTATCAACACCAAATTGTAAAAAATGCCAGAAGACTAGCCGCAGGGTTAATGGAAAAGGGATATAAAATTTTAACTGATGGTACTGATGTTCATATGTTACTAGTAAATGTTAAGGATGCGGGATTGAGTGGGGCAAAAGCGGAAACCATTTTGGAATCAGTTCATATTGCATGTAACAAAAATACTGTTCCAGGAGATAAAAGTGCTTTAAATCCTTCTGGTATTAGATTAGGTAAGAAATTATCATCATCAAATCTTCATTCCAAAAACTGGTTTGTTTATTTATATGTTAGGCACACCAGCAATAACAACTCGAGGTTTTACTGAGAAGGATGTGGATAATGTGGCTGATTTTATAGACAGGGGCTTAAAACTAGCTAAAGAAATCGAAAAACTGTCAGGCCCCAAAATAACAGACTTCAAAAGGGTGTTGTTCGAAGATGACGACATTCAAGTTAAGGTAAAGGCCTTGCAGAATGAGGTAACTCAATTTAGTTCTAAATTCCCTCTGCCAGGTTACGAGGAATACTAATTATTTAATATTAGATCACCGAAATCTTTTTTTTTATAATTTTATAATTATTAACTATTTGTTAAGCACCAGAACATACCTTCAAATAGCTATACTAAAAATTTTTTTCCTATGCTAAATTAAAAAAGAAAAAGGAAAGGCAAATTGGAAACAAATTCAATTTATTAAATATTAAATTGTTAGCGCGTAACAAGTTCGATTTAAATTTAATACATACAATTATCTTGCGTAATAAATACAATAATAGTTGTTACAATGAAAACATGTACAGTTGGTCGGAATTCATACGAGTTTCGTAATTAAAAAGGGGCTTGCTACAAACCTTGATTTTCATTCTCATAAGGGGAACTTTAATGCTAAGAAGCGTAATTTTGTGTTAACATAATGTGTTTTAATTTTTCAAAGCAATGCTTATTCCATTCTTATTCCTTTTAACTGCAAGAAGAATGAAAAATCACGTATCATTAAACATTATTCAACTTTTATAAACAATAATATAAACTAGACAATTACAATAAGTTGTTATCAACATTTTAAAAATTAAAAGTTAATTTAATGTGTACAGTTTATTCAAACCATTATATAGACCACAAAAAAACACTGCAAATATAAAACAATTTACATTAAAGCAAGAAGTAAATATTCAACTGTGAAGACAGTTTGAAATACAAATATACAGATATTTTTAAGGTGTTGTACAATATATACATAAATATAATGCCATGTTAACTGCTAGAATAGTTTTATACTGGCAAGTAGGTTTGTGACTGTTTATTCAAGCATTAAGAAAAACCACGGAAGTATTTCCGTAAATTATTACTTTAGTACCCTCAAAAAACTAACAAATTGCCATTCATTAAGTTAATTTCAAGGTAATCGTAAATTTTGTTTTTCGCTCCTACAACCTTCTTAAAAATGAAAGTAAATATCAACAACTTGTATTACATTCTTACATCTGCACACACATTCAAACAATCACCCCAAATTACAAGTTTACGAGTATTTAAAATCGTCACTATTAATCCAAGTCTTCAGTATGCATCAGTTGCTTGGGCATTTTCGAAGAAGACGATGAGGAGGAAGCAGAGGTCTGCAGTTGCTCTTCATCACTGTCTTCATCTAAACCGCTAAGAAAACTCTGTAGAAAATTACCGAAAAATCCCCCCCCTTGTTGAACGGGAGGCTTCAGACCAAAAAATATTTGACCTATTTTGTCTAAGTACTGTACATAACAGGGATCTCGTTTAATGGATGGTTCATATTGTGCACATAAAACTGCAAACGTAGTTAACTTTTTACTAAAACAATAACAATTTATTATTTTTCAAATATCCACAATATCTATACAAATGTACATACGAACCTTTCAATGGTCTGTAGGAGAAACCAAAGAAAATTAAGTAATGGTAACAAATAAGGAGGACCTGATTTTCTTATTCTAGGGTGTTCTTTAGTGTAACTACTAAAGGTTTGATTAGCAGTGTTTTTGTTTCTCAGGCACAAATATTGCAGTACAGTTTGGGCTATAAATAAATCGATTTCGCCCTGATAACCCTGTGTTGTCTGTATTTCAATAAGTAACTTTGCACAACTCTGTCCGTCTTTAGAATACATGAAATGATGTCTGGCCTGAGCATAGCTTTTTTCATTCCAATAAACCTGTGCTATACCCTGTAATGGTTATACCATTTTATTATTAACAATCATCCAAAATGTAAAACATACACAAACTTACCTGATGCAAAAGGGGATGTCCCTGACTTCCATTCTTTGCAGACCATCGAATGGAACTGTTTATAAATGTATCCCGTTCTGGTATGCTGGGATCTATTTTCCCAAAGATCTTGCAAATCTTGGGAATCCATTCCGTACAGTTTCCATTTTCTGATTTGACTAGAACATCAACAAGCAAAATTGCTAAATCTGCACCACTGATGTGCTAAAAAAAGGCACTGGGTAAGACTGCAGTATATGACATTATATTTATGTCTAATTACCTGATTTCTATCTAGGAATAGCACAGCTCCGTTGTACAACATATCCAACAGTTCGTTATATTTTTCTTGTCCCAAATATCTAAAACGACGTTAAGGTTATGTTTTGAAATTTCTAATTGTCTACAATTCGAAAAGTACTAACAAATATTACCTGAAATATAAAGTGCGGTACATCTGATGCGCTTCATAATAATTTCCTTCTTTTACAGAGTTTTCCAATTTTTCTAGCACACGCGAAACCCCTCTTGCGTTTGAAGAAGCCATATTTGTTTTGAAAAGCGAATTGTCAGTAAGTTCAGCTCGACTAGGAATTTTATCTGTCTACTTTACCTTTCCACTGGGGAATTTTAACTGTCAACCATAGAAATATGAAATTGGCTATACTGAATTATTAGAAGGGCGTTGATTGGTGCACGTTAAGGAAACGCGCGGAAAATGGAAAATAATGTAAGTTAAACATCAACTTTTTTTTTAAGTTTCCTGCATACTTTTAATTGTTTTTTCTTATGTGTTGTTATATGGTGTTGTTCTTTATTCGGACAATAGAAAGCCAAAAAATAATTACTTAATTTTATTTTAAGGGTGTGTCTAATTTAAAAGTTATACTGTTTTAACTAGTTGATTTTGTGTTTGGCATGCATGCTGTGATGAATAATTGCGAGTTCACATATTTTCCGATTAAAATGTAAATTTTGTGGGTTATGGTGGTAACCAGTTAACCACTTTATTAGTAGCCAGAATTCAAGTGACTTCAAGGTCAATCCAAAATGCATGCAGAATAACGAACAAACGTTTCATGAGTTTTCCTTTTCTAACTCGTTAACATTGATAGAGTTGAATTTGGAAATGATTACAGAGTCATAGTCAGTTTGCATTATCGTAATATTTCTGCCACAGTTTGATAGATGGCGGGTGAGTTTTTGAAAATTATACGAACCGGGTCGCCATTGTTGGTAGTCGGCTGCTTTATAGCCGTGCCTAGAATATTTTTCCTAAGAATTTTAGTGTTTGGATAGTTCGACGCAAAATATTAGGTCTGTTTTAACTATTTAAATGTATTGCTATTGTTAGTTTTGTTCTCAGTTTGCCGTCATTGAGTATTATTGTTCCTGTAAAAGTTGATATTTGCTGTATATTTTTCAAACATCGATTTGATCCTAATGGCTTTCGACTCTTATGAGCTGTGTATTTTTGCCATCGCATGTTGATATTTTATTTTTTTTCCAATTAATGTGCCTGTTGTAAATTAAGGTATGCATAAGTAGTTATTGTCTGTTTTAACAAATTTTCTCTTAGTAGATTTCTTTGTCCCTTTAAATTATTAATTTCCTAATTTTAACTAGCAAAGTGATCAGTCATCCTTTAATTTTTGAGAGTTTATACTTTTATTGGCAAAAGATGATTGAATTTACACATAGGTATTCTCTGTTTTGTTTTTTTCCTCACGTCATTACGAAGGTGCGTGTCTGTTTTATTTAATTTGGGGGTTAATTGTTATCTGTCTTGGATTTCATTTCTCTTGTGTCTTTAAAGGTACTGTAAACCACTATAATACCAATATATTCTTTTTAAGTAATCATGATGTCATAATATTTTTGGAGTATAATTCTTGCTAGTTCGTTGACACTTTACTAATTAATTATAGTTTGATATGACAATTGCATGAGTAATGTAGAATTAAATTGTAATGTCAATATTAATTACTATAAAAGTTCACATTGTTTTTCAATATTTCAGAGTTTCTATTGTATTGTAGAAACCCCCAATTTAGTGTTCCCATTACTAACAACATTTGATACTCCCATCACTTTATTTTGCATAGAAAACTGAGATTATCATTGATCAGATACTGTATAACGAAGTTTGTATGTAATAAGGTATACAAATCATATTGAAACGAAAACTTAATTTATATTGAATTCAAATTAGGACAATATTGAACCACAATGTTGATTTTAATGTGTTTTTTTGTTAAAATACAATAAATTGCAACAGATATGTCTCTTATTTTTCAGATTATCAACCAATTTTGCTTGAGCAAACTCAACAACTGCGTTAAGGAATAAAAAGTGTTATATGATAAATGAGACATTTGCTTCATTCAGACGTATGAAATGTAAAGCATCTGTTTATAAGTAAATCATTTGCTTATAGTGTATTTAAAGTGCATCAGTTTTGCTGAAGAAGAATTTATGAAGAGCATTAAAATGCAGCCTGACTGAATACAAGGGTGAATAAAAATGGAAGTGTATGCAGACCTGTAGCTGAAAAATAATCAAAGCTATCATAATGTCTGGAGGACCTCCACATCATCCTCATGGCAGACAGCAACCTACAACTAACCCAGCATGGAATCACTTACAGGTACCTTAATTTATAAGAGAAACAAACAAACAAACTGCATGATATTATACACTTACATTAAAGACGATTAGATTTTTGCTTAAATTGACTTTACTGTCATAAACATGTATTGTATATTTTCAACAAATTTTCCTTTTTCACTGTGTACTAACTTTAACAGATCGTTTACAATGTACAAAAGTAGTTGGTATTGTGAACACTTAAACCCCTTTAGTGATTTGTCTAAATTTAATGAAGAAGAAAAATAATGTGCTAATGACATACTGGAGCATTTTTGCAAGTACTAGCTCTGTTTCTTGAAGATAAGGTAACAGAAATGTAGTGGCTTTACAAAGAAGATTGCTTGTAGTGTTGAATGTGCTTAGATCAGTTATTGACTAACAGGTGGAACTTTTACAGGTTCCCAATTATTTCCCGAGTCGACAGTTACAACACGCTCACATGTCAAACGAGCATCCTCTCCTTCATCAGCCAACTTGGCACACTCCAACAACAGAACCAGTAAAAACTGTGCCCCATTCGCATTTGTTCAACCTTGAGCAGATGATAAGCGAACGATCATTTCAAAGACATGCTCCTGGAGTTGACTTGAGTCTCCAAAGGAACGGTAGCCAAAATGGAGAATTACCTACGAGTCCTATTAGCTTAAGTGTACGGGACACCAATAAAATTAATAGCCTTCCAGCTGGAGCCATCGATATGCAAGCAGTTGAACTAACAAAATCATTAAGTCCAGGGATAAAATCGATCAATGCGGCAGCTGTTAAAGCATCCTCAGGAAGTCCTGGATTGATGATGATTGGTAGTGCAGGACTGAAATCGACAAGTCCTGGACTTAAATCTGCCAGTCCTAGTAGTGCAAAGTCTACCAGTCCTGGCTTAAAAACCAGCAGTCCATCATTGAAAGTGGCGTCAGGAGGACATGGTTTGTTATCTACTAACCCAGTCATTGTTTGTACCAGCACCAACCTGATGATGACGCCCACTTTACAAACTACCAGTTTTAGTAGTGGTATTGGATCTGCATTAAGTTTAGGCTCCTCTTCCCAAATGCATTCTACATTGGGAGGTAGTAATCTAACTATTACGCCGAGTTTTTTTCCCACATTTGGTCCCAGTATGAAAGCTACAGGTCCGTTAAGTCCGGGACAACAGAATAGTCCCAAAAATACGAAACGACCTACAAAAAGAGTGGATTCAATTATTGAACGACTAAATCCTGGGGTTGATAAGGTGATTTCTAGTTGTGATAAAGTTACAATGGACAAAACGGACACGGAAAGGGGGCAAGGTGTTATTGTACAGCCGAACACGTGTTCGACCAATGACGAGAACAGTAACTCGAGTAGTGTTATGACGGGCGTGAGAGACGACGAAGTGGTTTCGCCTTATAGCGCTAATGAAGATAGCATGGACAGTAACAAGTCAAGACGCAAAAGAAAACCATCCAAGACTGTTAAAGTTACGAAAGAAGAGGAGAAAACCAAGCCCGAACATGAAAATAAAACGGATAACAACAACTTTTTGGGCAAACAGGAAACTTCGAATGATAGCAACAAAAATTTAGGGGATCAACTCGAAAAAGATAAAGAACTGAAACGTAGGAGATCTGGAAGTGCGCCTCCTGGCAGCCCTACGTTGTCCAAGAAGACGAGAAGAAAAACATCCTCTGAATCAGAAACTATAGCGAACATAGCTGCTATGGTAGAACAAGCAGTCACAATTGTTGCCCCTGTTACTATAAAAACTGAAAAAGAAGACGTGGACGATGAAGAAAGTCAGTCAACAGAATCTCACGTGGTGCCAAGTGCAAATGACCAGGAAGAACAAACATCAATTTCCGTTAGTGTTATTCGCGATTCGGCCAAGGACACTCGAACTAGTGAAAACGATAAGGCTCCACCGACTTCACAAGGGCCATCGGCTCGCAATCAGTCCAACACTTGTACGCCTCTCCATCCTGTTTCCGCGCAAAAGAGTTTCGTCGAAGTTGAAAACAAACTTCAGGAGATGTTTGCAGGGATAACTGACGAAACTGACTCTAAAGCAAATTCGAAAATATTGGACTTTGCAGACGACTCTAAGACAACCTTAGATCTGGAAGAAGGAAAGGCTGAAGAGAATTCTGTGAAAGAGGACAGCGAAAATAACATTCCAAGTACAAGCAGTCAGCAATCTACTGAAGTTGTGACCTCTACGTCGAACGACATCTCTCCTATATCAGCAAGAAGTAACCAGAAAAACAGGAAACGAAGAAGTGGAAGTAGTAACCGGACGAAAATATCAGAGTCATTACCAGTGGAATCATCTGTTCCCAAAAAGAAAAAAAGTAGCAAGAAATCTAAAAGTTTAAATAAAAAAGAAACGTCCGCTCCGACTGTTAAGTCAAACAAGAAACTTTTGAATGGCAAACCTCTTCAAAATAAAATAGAAAATTTCAAAGACGTTTATGCCTACGACTCGAACAGTAACGCCAGCTCTAGCAAATCAAGGGGACCATTTATTCAAATACGTGGCCCCCGAGATTCTCCATTGTCCATAAGCGTTATAAATGCGCCCTCAAACGAAGAAGATGCCGAAAAAAAGGCACACAAAAACAAAAAATACCATGACGACAGTGAGTATCGACACAAAGTTCAATCTCGGGGGCTCCACTGCAGCACATTGAGCACCAAATATGACGCTCAAACTCGAGATGCTACTTGGATCTGTGCATTTTGTAAACGAGGGCCCCACGCAACCGATCCCACTCTTCCAGGTCCTTCACCCTTCACCCTGTCTGACGCGAACGTTCCCCCACCTGGAGATCTTTTTGGACCGTACATTATAACCAGTAATTCGCCAGAATTTGAAAGGAGAATCGATGATCCATTTGACAAGCAATTTAGAAGTAAAAAGGTCGCCCGTGCGGTCGACGCTATTTCAGCGTCCACGTCGAAGGGTATTTCGAAAAAATCTAAACGAAAGCACACTGACAGCACAGAGAATTTCGTCGATTCGGGAAACGTAACGTTAGGAATTACCGAAACTAAAGACAGAACATACGAGGTATGGATGCACGAGGATTGCGTTGTTTGGTCGCCAGGGGTGTATTTGGTGGGTTCGAAAATTGTTGGATTAGAAGAGGCCATTTGGACTTGCTGTAATGTGACGTGCAGCCGGTGTAGCTATAAGGGGGCGAATGTGTGCTGTGCAAAACGGGGATGTACAAACGTAATGCACATCGGTTGTGCTCGGTTGGCTAAATGGAGTCTCGACGAAGACACCTATCGAGCTATTTGTCCCGAACACACTGTCATCATCCATTGATACTTTGGCAACGTTTCTGTTTAATGTGTAGGTATTTTATTCTGAAAAAGGTCCGCGTCTTGAATTTGTATATATACAGAGTGATCAATCGTTGCCGAATAACTCTGTAGGACTGAAAACTGTTTTTGACTTTTTACAGGGATATGGACTTCCCTGTTAAGAAGCATTGATTGTCGTAAAATGTATCATTTCCTTTTTTTATTTTCATCAGGTTAATTAAATTACACATGACCTGATAGAACTTAGTTTTGAATGGTTTCTTTTGTATAAAATCAAGTATATGGTAATCTAATTATTATTCTCATTTACTTTTAATAGTTAGAATGTTCGATCGATTGGAATTATTATTTGAGCAGATGAAAAGAATAGCGCATTTTTTATTATACAAATACCAGCGAAGAAAGCGGTGGTTCAGAATGTTTTTTTTTTTTCTAAATTCTGCTTATTTTAATACATCACTAAAATAGACTTCTAGTAAAAATAAATAACAATAATAATGGGCTACTTATATTTTCCTTTATCTCAAAATGACCTGATAGATTTTATCTATCAGTTGATACGACACATTTTTCTCTTATTTTTAACGAGTACATTGTAAAATAAAAATCATTATGTAATATTAAAATAATCTACTTCAAAATTTGGCAAACGACTGCATTATCGATTACCTTGAATAACTATTTTTTTTTAAACCAATTTCATACTATCAGGTCTGAAGTTACGACTTGAACAAACTGTGAGACTTTTTTTATGAAGCAGAGATCGTGTAGTTAGTTTTTTCTATAATTTTTAATTAAGGTAATTCCGATGATTATATTGGAGGTAATTATAGACACACGAAGACCTGCTGTTTAGTTTTTATTTGGTGATAGTTTGACACTATACAGATAATGCCAAAAAAATACTGTAAATATACTAGGAAGAAAAAAGCAAGCAGAGTGTGTAGCAAAAGTCTGCATAATTGTAGAAACTGAAATATTATTTAGCTGTGACTTTTGATGTAAAAATTGATAACTGATTTTTTTATCACGATCGTGCTTGATTGATTTATGCTTTACTGTATTTTTTTTTAGTGGTTACTTATGTGCTATGTACTAAATTATTGAAAAGAAAAAGTTTAGGAAAGTTTACTTTCTAAAACAAAAATAATGTTCACTTTTATCAGTGCGATATTATAACAACAATAACAATAATAAAAAACACTGAAAATCCAGCAAGTTTATTTTACAAAAAAATATGTTCAAAAAGGAGTTTTCGATAAGTTTTTTACCATTATACAATTTACATTCAATATGTATCAAAGGATTGAAAAATTATTATCAAGGTGCTATTTAAATTGAAATCTTCACCGTTATCGTGTAAAGAATGTGAAGGCCTTAATTGCTTCATAACGTATTTCTTACCTTTGTCGTGTTAAGTGATTCCCAAATTTCTTCCCTAATTTTAAAAAAAGCGCCAAATGACTGACCAGTTCTTTCATACAGCGTCCTTCAATGTGTTAAATGCGTTGGCGCTTATAATTACAAGGAAATATCATAGATGGGGTAGTCATCATTTTCTCTTAATCTTATTAAAAAAAATACAAAATTTTATCAGTCCTAATTTTTATTATATTGTATTACTGAATGTGCCGTCATATTCGTATAGTATTTCAACCTTTTTATCAATTAAAATGTTAAAAAGGACAACATTTTCATGGTAAAATAAAATAACAAATACAAATGAAGCACATTCTTTTTTTTTTACTTACTGCTGATAGGTAAATTAAAAAAAAAAAAACGAAAAATAGAAAAAGCTGTTGAATAAATTAAAACGATTTTTATATTTTTCAGTATTCTTTATTCGTTTGTTTTAATTATAGGTACATAACAAATCAAATGTTTTTTTTTTCACAGGAAAACCATATTTAGGAAGAATTAGTCTGCAGGTGTGACTTTATTTTGTGCTAGTTAAATATTACATTTGTTTTCAAGCTAATTATACAAGGAGTTGGCATTCAACAGTCTTTTCCTCAGACACATTTCTCTTCTCAGGAGATGGGAGATTTAGTAAACGGGTCCAATGTATTGTACGGTACAGGCTTCCAACAGTCGTAGATTTCATTGTTCGCGTAGAAGACCTTGCCAGGTCGTTCACGCGTTTTAAAATCCTTTCCTCCACCTCTTGGACCCGAGTTGACCAAGAGCCAAGGAGCACGATCGGAACGTATTGTTTTGTTTACTTTTTTAAAAAAGGAAAAGCGAACTAAACTTTTTCGTTCGTTTGTATATTGGTACATATTGACTTTGGTTACTAGTTGTTTGGGCTTTAAAATTGTACCGTTATTACCATCGCTAAGAATTGGATGACTGACTTGTTCAGGCTTCAGTTTATTTAAAAGAAGTGCGTTTCAGAAGAGGGTGTTTGCTTATTTTGATGAGCAGTGAAAGTAGTGTTTAACAAATTAAGAGAGTTAATTGTGAAAAGGAACAATCACCAAGCATTGCACCAATCTAGGTCGCGTCCGAAGGAAAATTTCGTGTTAATTGTGTACTATTGAAGTAGTGGAAATAGTAAATTATTGTTCCCATTTCCATGATATTGGTCATGGCTCACTTGTAAATCGGGGTCGAATGTTGGTTACCTAGGAATTACACAAAACCATTTGGAAAATGATTATTTTTATGGAAATATTGTCTGCGCGAAATATTATTGCCATTTTCTGTGCAAGTAAAGACGCGTGTTGTTGTTATTGTGATAGAAAATGACGAAGGTGAAGTAACAGATGATTATGAACAGTTTTAATTGACTTCAATAAAATGTGGGTGGATCTCTACGTTTTTATGCTGATTTCGACGATTAACCTGGAAATCGCGGTCGCCGAAAGGAATAGTACCATTGGTGAGTTTTTCTTTTTCTTGATTAATGATTACATTTGCTACGTAAACACCTGCATTAGTTGTTTTGAAAGGTTTAAGTACATTTCCGGTGACAGCGGAAGTGGGTACCTACATTGTTCCTACGCTATCGAGCTTAATATATATTTAAATTATCTATTTTACTATCATAATTTCATGAAATATCCAAGCGAATGCAGGTCATGAGCAAACTTAAACACTTGCTCAGTTGTTACTGATTTTTTTTTTAACATTTTATCAGACTGTACTTACGTACGTATTTTTAAATCTTTCGCAGATATCTCTTATCGTAAGTCTAAACCGTGTTGGTCGTCTATTTTTATCTGGTCGTTAGAAAACCTTTTTCTTTCTATACTTACCTAGAATAGGAGTTTCAGATAGAAGCTGTAATAGTCACGTCTAGATGAAGTCGGCCTTGGATATACAAACGCAAATGTAATTATACACATTCGTGTACCTATTATAAGTCACTTGATATGCTATTATATGTTAAGGTTTCTATTTATTAATGTACATGGTACAGTTCCTATTATAGTGTTACAGAACCGGAACGATTGAAGTATGTTCAGTTTTTTAATTGTGCGCATGAAGAATCCGGCACTGCTTTCTCATTAACTATATAGTCGTAATTAAAATCCCAATTTCGTATGGTCTACTGTATCGCGTTTTATGAAAAGAAATGCCTGACGTTGAAAGGTAACGTGAATGACACAAATTCTCCTTGCTTGTATCCTAATCGACGAGATAAATGCAAAAATTAGATAAATATGTAAATAAACTGACTCCAGGTGTTTGCACGAGTTTCACTTTTGCAAAATACTCATAAAATCGACAAAGAGAAAGAGAATACGTAAATACACCATAACACCTTATCGTTAGTTGTTAAGTTTTAATATAATTTTGTGTTTTGTATCTTAGATCATTTCATTATTTTCTTAAACCTTTTCAGTGTTATCAGTTTTTGCATTTTTTTGTGTGTATAAAATGTTGAAGCTTATAGGTCATTAAGGAATATATTTCCAAGTTCTAAGAAATTTCTTTGTGGGTCCTACACCAAATCGGTCGCAGTTTCTTTCTGATACAATAGGTAGAAGGTGGTCACAAATTTAAAATGGACCTTCTCGGAAAAAGAGACTGTAATAGTCTACAATCCTTCCTTTTAATTTCTCTCTACTCTGTCGTGGTATAATAGTGTTAGTAGAGGGAAGGAATTGCTAAAATTCAGTAAAATTTTCGAAAAAAAAAACTTAAAACTCCGTATTTTTCAAGAGATAATGCCTCTCCTTGATGATTACATGTAATAGAATATCCTTGTTCGGTTCTCGTCATCATGAGCTTGCCTCTAATGTATTGGTTAGTGTAGAGTTGTTTTAATAAGTAGGAAAGGGAGTTCACAGCCAGCAGAAACCCTAGTTTCCGGTATTTAAAAAGGGGAACGTTTTAGGCAACTAAACAAGTATACAGGGTGGATCTAAATTATATATTTATCTATCGTCTTTAACTCAAACATTAAAATAAAATACCCCGTAAATGTTTCAAGAAAATTTTATTTTTTTTTTTATTTGAAATAGTTTTTCGTAAAGTAGATGAATGTCTGATGTAAAACCAATTTCTTGTATCTTGTCTCTGCTAGAGTTTGTTAAAAGTTTCACATAACTGTATCAGTCATAAAAATTTCGTAGTATTGACCGCAAAAAGACATACCAAGAAACTACAAGTCGCAATTTGCCTTTGTAATAACGAAACAAACCACCTATTATTACATTTTTGCCGAAATTTATTTATGACTATTATAGTATTATTATAAGTAGTAGATTTTAATTGTAATGTATACCAGGTCTAATCAAAAAATATTTTACAGTATATTTTTGAAGATTTAGTTCAAGAGGTCTTGTTAATCAGGTACCTATCATATCAATTAATCAACCGTTAAATTGAGGCATTGCTCTTCTTTCTCCAACTGTTTCGGATCTCACAATCAGTAATTAGCCATTTATTTCGTCACGCTTTTACGCAATGAGCTACGCTAAAGTCGACTTCAGCAAGCAACTTCGTTTTCGTATTTTTACGTGACCGATAAAATAACATTGATATTATATTAAACTTACTGACAGGTAAAAAAATAACAAAGCAGCGTGTAATAATAATAAATAAAAAGAAAGTCTGCTTAACAGCCCTAATTCTTTTCAAAAATTTGTTTGCGTGTGTGTTTAAATTCCAAAAGAAGGGAAATGTGTAAAATGTTTTATAAAGTTTCGGTTATTTTTAAGTAACTACCTACCTACCTTTTCTTATTTTCTACGTGTTTGATCTTACTAATAACGAATAAAATCAGTAAGCATACCAAACATACTGTCGCCACATGGCAAACGCTTTCTACTAACAAAATCCTAACGCACATGTGATGGTCGTTCCTGTATTTTATTTTTAAACAAACTTAACTTCACATACGTACACATGTGCAAAAATATGTATAAATGCATGCACATCTAATTCTAATTCGAAATAAACCATGTGCAATTTGAATAGTAATAACTCTTCGAGTTGAACGACTTTTTAGTTTATAAACCTACTGTAAACCCAAAAATGTTTTTTAACAATTTGGTGTATTGCTATATAACTCAATGTGCAAGGTTTTCAACGTCTGTTTTGTTTCTGCATTTAAAACATAAATAAACAATCTGTAGCTCCACTTCCGCTATTGCCAAACAGTACCCTCGTGAATTATATGTATTTATGTATAGGAGCGCCTTTTCTTAACTTATTGTCGCCCATCAGACACCAGACGCCTGCTTAAAAGACTTATAACCACACCAGATGTCTGTTATCTGTTTCAGGATGTTCCCCGGACTTGTCTTGCCTCAGGTGCAGTCCGAACGGATGTATCAAATGTTCCGGTTTGATCGTATTCCCTTCGAGAAAGTGTGTCAGTTCTTGTCCATCAGGTCATCGCGCCAAGTGGTCTAACATGCCTGAATATTTGGGACGCATTTGCGTCCATTCGGGATATTTCTTGGGATTGTCCGGCAAAATTGTGACGGTCGTGGTTGGCTCCTTTTGTGGTTTAGTAATCAGCGTTTGTGTGATCGCGGGGGCGGTCGCTTATCTTCGATACAAAAGGAAACGGTTGCGCGAAAGGCTCGATACAAACTCCGATCTCGACGACAAACCGGAAGAGAGAGACTTTATGAAACAGTTGGAAACTTTACGACCGTACAGTCACACGTTTCTGGACATGCTAAACGACGCAAGGAGGCAGTTACGCGAATTAAGATTAGAAGGAGACAACTTAGCAGTATCAGCTTATAAACCAGTCGTTAGAGACCTTGCAAAAATACTGCTATTACTAAATAGACCACTAGAAAAAATAGCAATGCCCGACGATTGGGAACATTTGTTCAATTGGGCAGAGAAAGCCCTTAAAAGGTACAAAAGGATGAGCGAAACGTCCATAGGACAGGTGGCTCAGCTTATAGATTTCTTACAAGGACCTGTGATTACCACGGTGGTCGGTACAGAAGTGGAAAACCCACGTCAAACCATCTTGTCCACTTTTAAACCGGAATTAAGTTTGGGTTCGTCACAAACTTTAAGTGACAATAAAACAAAAACTGCAAGTACAAATGGCGTTAACGGTTCGCCACTAAATACTCCATTGAACCCTCAGTGGAAATTTAATTATCCATTAGTTACAAATAATCCCTTGTACGCCTCGGACTTTAGTAGTCTTCAGTGGAAAAACAGCAAGGAATACCTCAGCAGTCCGTATCTTTTAGAAGACGACTTCTTTCAGTTAGGATTCCGGCCACAAGATGAAATAACGACTGAATTGTAACCAATACTTTTACCCTTACGTTTTATGCTTACCAAATTCCACTAGTCATACCCTCTATATTATTTCCTTAAGATTCACTCAAAAATTCGGAAGTATTTAGTATCATTCGTATTTTTGTAAGTTTACAGTAAAAATTATTTAATCCTTTTCGTGTCTTTTAATTTATTATTCCTTTTTATATTCTACGTTTAAGCGTGTTCAATTTGGTGTAGATGTCTAGTTTTTTATAACTACACCTATTTTTATTTGTCCTTATACTTGTATGGTACGCCACTGGAATTGTTAAATATAATGCAAACTACCATAGAATAACCGTAATTTAAATGTCTAATGTGGGTTACTCCATCTACAGCACACCAACCAAAATAGGTGCACACTAAAAAGTTACCATTAACTTTTTATGGATTATTCATTTGAAAAGAAAGAATTACACAAAACTGTGATATATTCTTCATATATCATTGTGTTTACTGGCTTCATTAAGTAATGAAGAATTAAAAATGTATTTAAGAACATTATTGTGGCGACATCTGGCGCATTTTACTACAATGATAAATAGGAGAGATCACCACAGATAAATATTAATCAAATGTATTATAAAAAGATATTTCGCCCCACCCCCTTCTCTTTTCATTTCATGCCGGTCAGTGACTCACTACGTGTAATGGTGCGGTGTGTTAGGCACGCTTGGTTATTTTTTTGTGTTATTTAAGTATAATTATAAAAGTATTCGAACTGGCTTCATTATTTGAAGGTAAGTGCTTTAAAGCCCTTAAATAACTCAAATTCATTGGCTAATAGGTTTCTTATTTGAGAAAATGTAGAAATAGCGGCTTATATCAGGCGTTGTCTCTCACAACAATGTATAATGACATATGCCAGAATGTTTTGTTTTGGAAGTCACTGTAAATATTTTTAAATGGTTGGTTGTTCTAATTTGCTACCCCAGTAAAATTACTTTGATTGCAACAGTTGTACATTCTTTTACAGTAAATAACGGCACGTTCGTTTCAGGTTAAGTGATTGATAATGTTCAAATTTATAAGGGCCAAGGGCCCCCAAGCAACAGCTGAAAGGCAGAAGCTCCAAAAAGAGTTATTTTCTTATAGAAGGGTGAGTTTTTAATAGTATATCATATCTATTTTTATTGATTTTGGTGTAACAGTCTTATGTTTTCTGTTTGTTTGTGATTACTAACTTTTATCTTATCAGTGTAAGTTTTCTTATTAATCTACCTTTAACGTGAATCGTGTGTAATGCCATTTGATTAGCATTCGTTTTATAAAACATAAGGACCGCTTTCGCTTGAATTTGGGCATCACTAAAATTATGATTCATAAAATGTAATTCTTGATGTGCTAATGATATCGTACAAATTTAGTTGTTCATTTTCCAATGAAATCCATTATGATCGCCTTTTAATTTAATTTGTACTTGGATTTTTATTTATTTATCATTATTTAATGAATGGTAATGTTATTAAATATCTGTATTTTTATTTCTACAGCTAAACAATAATTAAAAAGTTTTGGAAATGCCATATTATTATGCATAGGTAGTTATTTACAATTTTATTGAACATTTTAATATTAACTTGTCTATAGTACTTGCTAGTTTTAAGTACTACTTTGCTTACCTTTTAATTTAAAACAAAAACATATAAAATAAAGATATTAAAATACTTTGTTTGTCGACCTTTATGGTATTAATAATAGAGCGTTTTATGTACCAACTAACGTAATAATTCGATAAGGAACTTGTTTACTTTTAAATTAACTTACAGACGCGTATATGAAAAAGATGAGTCTTTAATGCATTACTGAACATAGAAGAAGATTGTACAACTCTATTTGATTAATTTAAACTAGAAAGTATAATGATTATTGAAAATTCATGTATGATCTAATCCTAATGGAATAGATTCTATGAATGAGATTCGATGTCTTTAAATTGCAACAAGGAACTCATTCTGTTGAATCTCTATCAGCATTATTTTATGCATTTGTTTTTAATTAAATTGATTATATTCTGTTTTATTAACCTATTTGGAATAAAGTATTAAGAGTAAGGTAGTACATTAAAAATAATTATTATCGTTGAACAAATAGCTTGTATCTACAAGTGCGTTCCAAATTATGATTTTTTTATTTATCAATTGAATTGTAATAAATTTTTGTACATATTTATTTAGACATTGCAACATGGTTTCCCAAATAAGCCCACCGCCCTTGCATGGGATCCCACCTTACGTCTGTTGGGCATTGGAACGGCAACCGGAGCCATTAAGGTTTTCGGTAAGCCAGGTGTGGAATTTTACGGTCAGAACCAAAACCCCATCCCGGTTCGAAAATTGGTTTTTTTACCAAACGTCGGCCGTGTTGTTTCATTGTACGATGACAACTCATTGCATTTATGGGAGGTGAACAGAAGTTCTCTGGTAGAGGTCAAGACCCAGGCTCTAGAAGGAAAACTTAAAAAGATATCTGCCATCTGCGTTGAATCAGCTGGAAAGCATCTTTTACTTGGTACAGAAGGTGGTAACATATACGTTTTGGATCTAAACACTTTTTCCATGGCCCCTGACATCATCTATCAGGATGTTGTAATGCAAAAGTAAGTTTTTTTATAATTATTGTAGGTATTACAGGTACCAAATAAATAATCGAAGAGGTTTTCTTGTGTGTATGTTTACGATAAAAAATATATCTTTTTTGCCAAGCCCTAAGTTTGATAAGATTAAAGGTATTCGCGGTATCTGTCGTGGTAGTAATAAAATGTAGTATTGTATATATATTTATGGTCTATTTTTCAACGAAGACAGAAATAATCTCTTTTAAGTCCCTACATTTATGAATTTTTACCGTGCAGTGGTCATTTATTGAATTTGTTCTTTTAAATAATAAAAATATGTTATTGTATATTCACTGTTCCAAATGAAGAAGTTTAAGTATTTTTTGCGAATTTGTTATAAAATTTCAGTGTTCCTGAAGACTACAAATTGAATCCTGGTGCAGTGGAGTCGGTAATCGAGCAACCAAACAGTCCAAACAACATCCTGATAGGGTATAATAGGGGGTTGCTCGTCTTATGGAACAGAGTTGAAAATGTTGCTGTTAAAACATTCATATCCAATCAACAGCTCGAGTCTTTGTATTGGCATGAGGACGGCACTTCTTTCACAAGTTCGCACAATGATGGTAAGTGCTTTTGTTTCAGTTTTCAGGATGCCTGGTTTAAATCTTTACCTTTTCTAAATAGGTAGTTATGTAACATGGGAGATAACGAATGGCGAGAAACCTCTGAGCGATCCTGTTACAACTTACGGTCCTTTTCCTTGCAAAGCCATTCCTAAACTGCTCAGGCGCCAGCTGCAAGGACATCCTCTTATTGTCTTTTCGGGGGGGCTTCCCAGAGCCAGCTACAGTGACAAATACACAGTCACTGCAATGCATGATTCAAAACACGTCGTTTTCGATTTTACTAGCAAGGTAAATACTGTATTTTGAAAAAACTGCACTGTTGAATGCCCTCTTTCTTTTTTTTTTTAAGGTAATCGATTTCGTTTTAATTGATTCAAAGGCAAGAGACGAACGTGCGCTAGAAGAGGATGGTGAAAATGAAAGGGCCGCCTTACAAGGCGAACCAGAAGCTCTGGTAGTTCTTCTAGATGAAGAACTGGTAGTTATCGATTTACTTTCAGAAGATTGGAAGATGATGAACTTGCCTTATTTAGTATCCTTGCATGCATCTGCCGTTACATGCAGTCAACATGTATCCGGTAATTATTTTGAAATTAATAAATTGATACATTGATGTATTATACGTATGTTGCAGACGTGCCAGAGGATTTGTGGGAACAGCTACGAGAGGCCGGGAAAGCCCAAACGAACAACCTTTACTCCAACAGGAGTTGGCCCATCGATGGTGGCGGACTTTTGTGCGGTATGAGTATAAAATATCGTCGCGAAATTTTGCTTTTGGGACACGAGGATGGAACGGTGAGATTTTGGGATGCAAGTGGCACCACATTGACGCCAATATATAAGTTTAACACTGCACGTTTATTTACTGGTGAAGATATTGTTGATGAAACTGCCCAGAATCAAGAAGAGGAAGAGGAAGATTGGCCACCCTTCAGAAAATGCGGTGTTTTCGATCCTTATTCGGACGATCCAAGATTGGCCATCAAAAAGGTGGTTCTTTGTCCGTTATCGGGAACTTTGGTGGTTGCCGGGACCGCAGGGCACGTGGTTATTGCCAAATTCGACACTGAAGTACTAAATTCCGAAGTCAAAGTGACCACAATGAATATCGTTAGTGATAGGGATGGATTCGTATGGAAAGGACACGATCGATTACAAGTAAGACAAGGTAATCAAAAGCCCGATTATTAAAATAAAAATTTGTATTTAATTTTTTTTTTATATAGGGGAAATTCATCAAGCTCGTGGTTTCCAAGCAAATTCCATTCTACAACTTCATCCGCCTGCTGCCGTAACTTGTTGCGCCCTTCAAGCAGACTGGGGCGTTGTCTCGGCCGGTACTGCCCACGGTCTTGCGCTCTACGATTATCGGAAACAAAAACCAATTATCGTTAAGTGCACTCTGAATCCAAACGATCTTACGGGCGCGGGAGACACGCCGATATCACGCCGGAAGTCATTCAAAAAATCACTGAGGGAGTCGTTCAGGAGGCTGAGAAAGGGCAGATCGACGAGACGAAATGCCGCCACATCAGGTGGCGGTACCCAAACAACGAACAATCCAATCACTTCGCCACCAAATAGAAGACTTACAAATTCTGCGGGTATTATTCTATCAGCATTATTTTATGCATTTGTTTTTAATTAAATTGATTATATTCTGTTTTATTAACCTATTTGGAATAAAGTATTAAGAGTAAGGTAGTACATTAAAAATAATTATTATCGTTGAACAAATAGCTTGTATCTACAAGTGCGTTCCAAATTATGATTTTTTTATTTATCAATTGAATTGTAATAAATTTTTGTACATATTTATTTAGACATTGCAACATGGTTTCCCAAATAAGCCCACCGCCCTTGCATGGGATCCCACCTTACGTCTGTTGGGCATTGGAACGGCAACCGGAGCCATTAAGGTTTTCGGTAAGCCAGGTGTGGAATTTTACGGTCAGAACCAAAACCCCATCCCGGTTCGAAAATTGGTTTTTTTACCAAACGTCGGCCGTGTTGTTTCATTGTACGATGACAACTCATTGCATTTATGGGAGGTGAACAGAAGTTCTCTGGTAGAGGTCAAGACCCAGGCTCTAGAAGGAAAACTTAAAAAGATATCTGCCATCTGCGTTGAATCAGCTGGAAAGCATCTTTTACTTGGTACAGAAGGTGGTAACATATACGTTTTGGATCTAAACACTTTTTCCATGGCCCCTGACATCATCTATCAGGATGTTGTAATGCAAAAGTAAGTTTTTTTATAATTATTGTAGGTATTACAGGTACCAAATAAATAATCGAAGAGGTTTTCTTGTGTGTATGTTTACGATAAAAAATATATCTTTTTTGCCAAGCCCTAAGTTTGATAAGATTAAAGGTATTCGCGGTATCTGTCGTGGTAGTAATAAAATGTAGTATTGTATATATATTTATGGTCTATTTTTCAACGAAGACAGAAATAATCTCTTTTAAGTCCCTACATTTATGAATTTTTACCGTGCAGTGGTCATTTATTGAATTTGTTCTTTTAAATAATAAAAATATGTTATTGTATATTCACTGTTCCAAATGAAGAAGTTTAAGTATTTTTTGCGAATTTGTTATAAAATTTCAGTGTTCCTGAAGACTACAAATTGAATCCTGGTGCAGTGGAGTCGGTAATCGAGCAACCAAACAGTCCAAACAACATCCTGATAGGGTATAATAGGGGGTTGCTCGTCTTATGGAACAGAGTTGAAAATGTTGCTGTTAAAACATTCATATCCAATCAACAGCTCGAGTCTTTGTATTGGCATGAGGACGGCACTTCTTTCACAAGTTCGCACAATGATGGTAAGTGCTTTTGTTTCAGTTTTCAGGATGCCTGGTTTAAATCTTTACCTTTTCTAAATAGGTAGTTATGTAACATGGGAGATAACGAATGGCGAGAAACCTCTGAGCGATCCTGTTACAACTTACGGTCCTTTTCCTTGCAAAGCCATTCCTAAACTGCTCAGGCGCCAGCTGCAAGGACATCCTCTTATTGTCTTTTCGGGGGGGCTTCCCAGAGCCAGCTACAGTGACAAATACACAGTCACTGCAATGCATGATTCAAAACACGTCGTTTTCGATTTTACTAGCAAGGTAAATACTGTATTTTGAAAAAACTGCACTGTTGAATGCCCTCTTTCTTTTTTTTTTTAAGGTAATCGATTTCGTTTTAATTGATTCAAAGGCAAGAGACGAACGTGCGCTAGAAGAGGATGGTGAAAATGAAAGGGCCGCCTTACAAGGCGAACCAGAAGCTCTGGTAGTTCTTCTAGATGAAGAACTGGTAGTTATCGATTTACTTTCAGAAGATTGGAAGATGATGAACTTGCCTTATTTAGTATCCTTGCATGCATCTGCCGTTACATGCAGTCAACATGTATCCGGTAATTATTTTGAAATTAATAAATTGATACATTGATGTATTATACGTATGTTGCAGACGTGCCAGAGGATTTGTGGGAACAGCTACGAGAGGCCGGGAAAGCCCAAACGAACAACCTTTACTCCAACAGGAGTTGGCCCATCGATGGTGGCGGACTTTTGTGCGGTATGAGTATAAAATATCGTCGCGAAATTTTGCTTTTGGGACACGAGGATGGAACGGTGAGATTTTGGGATGCAAGTGGCACCACATTGACGCCAATATATAAGTTTAACACTGCACGTTTATTTACTGGTGAAGATATTGTTGATGAAACTGCCCAGAATCAAGAAGAGGAAGAGGAAGATTGGCCACCCTTCAGAAAATGCGGTGTTTTCGATCCTTATTCGGACGATCCAAGATTGGCCATCAAAAAGGTGGTTCTTTGTCCGTTATCGGGAACTTTGGTGGTTGCCGGGACCGCAGGGCACGTGGTTATTGCCAAATTCGACACTGAAGTACTAAATTCCGAAGTCAAAGTGACCACAATGAATATCGTTAGTGATAGGGATGGATTCGTATGGAAAGGACACGATCGATTACAAGTAAGACAAGGTAATCAAAAGCCCGATTATTAAAATAAAAATTTGTATTTAATTTTTTTTTTATATAGGGGAAATTCATCAAGCTCGTGGTTTCCAAGCAAATTCCATTCTACAACTTCATCCGCCTGCTGCCGTAACTTGTTGCGCCCTTCAAGCAGACTGGGGCGTTGTCTCGGCCGGTACTGCCCACGGTCTTGCGCTCTACGATTATCGGAAACAAAAACCAATTATCGTTAAGTGCACTCTGAATCCAAACGATCTTACGGGCGCGGGAGACACGCCGATATCACGCCGGAAGTCATTCAAAAAATCACTGAGGGAGTCGTTCAGGAGGCTGAGAAAGGGCAGATCGACGAGACGAAATGCCGCCACATCAGGTGGCGGTACCCAAACAACGAACAATCCAATCACTTCGCCACCAAATAGAAGACTTACAAATTCTGCGGGTATTATGATGTCTTTAAATTGCAACAAGGAACTCATTCTGTTGAATCTCTATCAGCATTATTTTATGCATTTGTTTTTAATTAAATTGATTATATTCTGTTTTATTAACCTATTTGGAATAAAGTATTAAGAGTAAGGTAGTACATTAAAAATAATTATTATCGTTGAACAAATAGCTTGTATCTACAAGTGCGTTCCAAATTATGATTTTTTTATTTATCAATTGAATTGTAATAAATTTTTGTACATATTTATTTAGACATTGCAACATGGTTTCCCAAATAAGCCCACCGCCCTTGCATGGGATCCCACCTTACGTCTGTTGGGCATTGGAACGGCAACCGGAGCCATTAAGGTTTTCGGTAAGCCAGGTGTGGAATTTTACGGTCAGAACCAAAACCCCATCCCGGTTCGAAAATTGGTTTTTTTACCAAACGTCGGCCGTGTTGTTTCATTGTACGATGACAACTCATTGCATTTATGGGAGGTGAACAGAAGTTCTCTGGTAGAGGTCAAGACCCAGGCTCTAGAAGGAAAACTTAAAAAGATATCTGCCATCTGCGTTGAATCAGCTGGAAAGCATCTTTTACTTGGTACAGAAGGTGGTAACATATACGTTTTGGATCTAAACACTTTTTCCATGGCCCCTGACATCATCTATCAGGATGTTGTAATGCAAAAGTAAGTTTTTTTATAATTATTGTAGGTATTACAGGTACCAAATAAATAATCGAAGAGGTTTTCTTGTGTGTATGTTTACGATAAAAAATATATCTTTTTTGCCAAGCCCTAAGTTTGATAAGATTAAAGGTATTCGCGGTATCTGTCGTGGTAGTAATAAAATGTAGTATTGTATATATATTTATGGTCTATTTTTCAACGAAGACAGAAATAATCTCTTTTAAGTCCCTACATTTATGAATTTTTACCGTGCAGTGGTCATTTATTGAATTTGTTCTTTTAAATAATAAAAATATGTTATTGTATATTCACTGTTCCAAATGAAGAAGTTTAAGTATTTTTTGCGAATTTGTTATAAAATTTCAGTGTTCCTGAAGACTACAAATTGAATCCTGGTGCAGTGGAGTCGGTAATCGAGCAACCAAACAGTCCAAACAACATCCTGATAGGGTATAATAGGGGGTTGCTCGTCTTATGGAACAGAGTTGAAAATGTTGCTGTTAAAACATTCATATCCAATCAACAGCTCGAGTCTTTGTATTGGCATGAGGACGGCACTTCTTTCACAAGTTCGCACAATGATGGTAAGTGCTTTTGTTTCAGTTTTCAGGATGCCTGGTTTAAATCTTTACCTTTTCTAAATAGGTAGTTATGTAACATGGGAGATAACGAATGGCGAGAAACCTCTGAGCGATCCTGTTACAACTTACGGTCCTTTTCCTTGCAAAGCCATTCCTAAACTGCTCAGGCGCCAGCTGCAAGGACATCCTCTTATTGTCTTTTCGGGGGGGCTTCCCAGAGCCAGCTACAGTGACAAATACACAGTCACTGCAATGCATGATTCAAAACACGTCGTTTTCGATTTTACTAGCAAGGTAAATACTGTATTTTGAAAAAACTGCACTGTTGAATGCCCTCTTTCTTTTTTTTTTTAAGGTAATCGATTTCGTTTTAATTGATTCAAAGGCAAGAGACGAACGTGCGCTAGAAGAGGATGGTGAAAATGAAAGGGCCGCCTTACAAGGCGAACCAGAAGCTCTGGTAGTTCTTCTAGATGAAGAACTGGTAGTTATCGATTTACTTTCAGAAGATTGGAAGATGATGAACTTGCCTTATTTAGTATCCTTGCATGCATCTGCCGTTACATGCAGTCAACATGTATCCGGTAATTATTTTGAAATTAATAAATTGATACATTGATGTATTATACGTATGTTGCAGACGTGCCAGAGGATTTGTGGGAACAGCTACGAGAGGCCGGGAAAGCCCAAACGAACAACCTTTACTCCAACAGGAGTTGGCCCATCGATGGTGGCGGACTTTTGTGCGGTATGAGTATAAAATATCGTCGCGAAATTTTGCTTTTGGGACACGAGGATGGAACGGTGAGATTTTGGGATGCAAGTGGCACCACATTGACGCCAATATATAAGTTTAACACTGCACGTTTATTTACTGGTGAAGATATTGTTGATGAAACTGCCCAGAATCAAGAAGAGGAAGAGGAAGATTGGCCACCCTTCAGAAAATGCGGTGTTTTCGATCCTTATTCGGACGATCCAAGATTGGCCATCAAAAAGGTGGTTCTTTGTCCGTTATCGGGAACTTTGGTGGTTGCCGGGACCGCAGGGCACGTGGTTATTGCCAAATTCGACACTGAAGTACTAAATTCCGAAGTCAAAGTGACCACAATGAATATCGTTAGTGATAGGGATGGATTCGTATGGAAAGGACACGATCGATTACAAGTAAGACAAGGTAATCAAAAGCCCGATTATTAAAATAAAAATTTGTATTTAATTTTTTTTTTATATAGGGGAAATTCATCAAGCTCGTGGTTTCCAAGCAAATTCCATTCTACAACTTCATCCGCCTGCTGCCGTAACTTGTTGCGCCCTTCAAGCAGACTGGGGCGTTGTCTCGGCCGGTACTGCCCACGGTCTTGCGCTCTACGATTATCGGAAACAAAAACCAATTATCGTTAAGTGCACTCTGAATCCAAACGATCTTACGGGCGCGGGAGACACGCCGATATCACGCCGGAAGTCATTCAAAAAATCACTGAGGGAGTCGTTCAGGAGGCTGAGAAAGGGCAGATCGACGAGACGAAATGCCGCCACATCAGGTGGCGGTACCCAAACAACGAACAATCCAATCACTTCGCCACCAAATAGAAGACTTACAAATTCTGCGGGTATTATTATATATAATTTGTTTGTTATTATTGTTAATTGCTTACGGCCGTATAGGTGAAGAAACCCCGTTGGAAGCGCGTCCCGTTGAACGTCAGGTAGAAGCTCGTGCCGTTGACGACGGCTTGGGGTCGATCGTCCGCTGCCTGTACTTTGCACGTACTTTCATTGTAAGCGTGCAAAATACCACTCCGACTATGTGGGCGGGAACAAACAACGGAACAATTTACGTGTTCACGATCGTGGTGCCTAGTTCTCAAAAACGAGACGTCGATGATGTGCATTGCCAGCTAGCAAAGGAGATTCAATTAAAACATCGCGCCCCCGTGATAGGTATAGCAGTTTTGGATGGATCTAGTAAACCTTTGCCAGAGCCCCTTGAGGTGGAAAAGGAATTGGCACCCCTGCCGGACACAACGCAGCCTCATAGAGTTATTATAGCCAGCGAGGAACAGTTTAAGATTTTCACTCTGCCTTCCCTGAAACCATTTTGCAAGTACAAATTAACAGCACACGAAGGTAAAGGCAAAAAAATATACTTCCGTGCTTTATCGTGAGACGGTATAGCAAATTTGTTTATTTCAGGAGCAAGGGTTAGACGAATGAACTTCGGTTGGTTTAGCTGTCACCTACCTGATACGAACAATCAGCATACCGAAGTGGACCTGCTGTGCCTTACCAATATAGGAGACATCCTCGTACTTAGTATTCCAGATCTCAAACGCCAACTGAACGCTGCTGCCATCAGAAGGGAGGACATCAAGTTTGTTAACCGCGGTATTTAAATAAATGATATTTTATTCATTTCTTTTTTCTAGTGGTATTTCGTCCTTGGTTTTCACAAAAACAGCAGAGGCATTGTACCTTCATTCTTCCTCCGAATTGCAACGAATATCGTTGTGTGCCACTCAAAGTACGACAGCCCGTTGTTATCTGGTGCTACCGAAGGGCGCGAGGGATGAGAGCGGCATAGGAGACGCTACGTCCGATGCCGGTATTGAGGGACACGTCCAAGCAGATGAACAACAAGAAAACGAAAATCCAGCTCCTTTAGTTAATGGTAATGTCGAAAGCAAAGAAAGCAGCGTTGCTGATAAGGTGAGAGTTTTTATGAATAAATGAATAAACAGTATATACTGCAATATTTTCTACAGAATGATGAACTTCGTGAAAATGGAGATGAAACCCTTCATAACGTAACAGTTTCGAGTAGTATTGGAGACATAACGATCGATAGTGTTAAAGATCACTTAGGAACTGGGGACGAGCTTTCGAATCGGTTGTCCAATTTGACTGTTACAAAAACGGTAATTACCACCGTTACCAATGATTCTGGAGATGCAGTCACGTCCAGCACTTCGACCACCACTACAACGGCCAACAACCAGGATACCGGTAAGTTCTTTGCTTTGTTTATCTGTTTAGTTTTGTTTTTGTTAATTTATTTGCATTATTTTTTAAATTGTTCCACTTTTGTTGCTTTTATACGTTTCTTGTGAGGTCTGAACTTTGTCCAGCTCAATTGTTGCTTTGTAGTGTTAGATTTTGTAAAAATTATTAAATATTTAAATATTTCTTTAGCTTGAAACAGCCTCTGATTTTTTATAAAATTGAAGCGATTCTACATTTTGTATTGTTAATCGTTTAGCTGTGTGCTTCCTTTAATCGTTTGTTTTTGACTTGTTGCCTTGTAGTTTTAGAGCGTGCGCTGGTGGATTCTTCTTCTCGACGTTTAGAGGTTAGACTTTGCACATTTTTTGCTTGCTATTTCTCTCATAACTTCCTAACAATTTTTAATAACATTTTATTAAGGTGAATAATTAACATTTCTTATGTTAAGGGCTGAACAGAACAAAAATCGCAAGAATTAGTAAAATGCTTGGGAAATATCAAGATGTAAAGTTTTTAATATTCCTGTTAAAAATATCGCAATGGTTTGAGTGATATCTTTTATGATAGTTCGCCTTTCGCTCAGTTTCAGTCTTTTTTACTAAACTCTTTGTTAAAGAAAATTATAATAAACAGTTGGTTATAATTGTTAATTGGGTATTATTCATGCAAGTTGCTTAACTAACGCCTGCCGATTGATCCAGTTTTTTTGTTTTATGTCAAGATTTAGACCTTTGTCTTTTTTCTTCTAGACTAGGATGGTTCACATAACAGATTCTTTTATAAGAGCCCCTTTAGCTTTGGTCGAGGATATGGAATAAGAGATACATGAATATTGGAATTGCTATGGCAACTGTCGTACATAGAAACTTACATGAGGTGGAAAAAAATCATATCTATCTACTTAACTACTTGCTGTGTATTTATAATAAGCTGTTTTTAATTTTTAACTCGTATATTTTTTATTGGGTATCTATTTCCTACTCGTGACAGCTTGCGAAACTTTTTTACTAGACTTACCATTAATAAAAAATTCAACATGATTCCTAAAGAAAAATGAAGGAATAGGTCTTTGTTGCTTTAGGCCATTTTTCCCTTTGTAAAACAAATTGCTTTTTTTTTATCTTTAAGGAAGTTACAACAATAATTCATATTTATCTTCACAGTTGTCGTTTCTAGGAAGTACCAATTTTATTGTATATATGTTATACTTATACATATGTGTTCTGCTGTTACTATTCCATTTTTCCTCTTTTATTCTACATTTATTACCCAGTTTTTTACCTCGTCATATAGTTGATAAGTTTAAATTTAAGTAGTTACACACATTGGGACCATTTAGTTGGTAAAAATACCACTCCACTCCCTTCATCGTCTCTTCCTTTTTCTCATTGTTCATTTGCAAACTTCCTTAGAGTCATTGTCTTTTACCTATATAAATTTTTTCTCCCGTTAATTATTAAATTAAATTAAAATGAATGCAACAAGGCAACAGTATTGTTAATATTATATAATTATTA